TGTTTGTGTGTTTGTGTGTTTGTGTGTTTGTGTGTTTGTGTGTTTGTGTGTTTGTGTGTTTGTGTGTTTGTGTTGTTTCGGTTTTTTTCCGTGTGTTTTGTGTTGTTGTTGTTTTTTTGTGTGTGTGTGTGTGTTTTTGTGTGTTTGTGTGTTTGTGTGTTTGTGTGTTTGTGCGTTTGTTTGTGTTTGTGGTTGTGTGTGTGTGGGGTTGTGTGTGGGGTTGTGTTCTTGTGTTCGCGGTTGCTTTTAGGGTGCCCTCTTTGGTTGGTTTAGAGGGAAGGCAAAGGAAACAGTCCTTTCCCCGTTTAGAGGCGCACACAACAATTTCTTACCTCGGATCCATTGCATACTTTTTGGTGCTTAGCAGCGCGCATGCAAGATTCACGCAGCAAAGTCTTCCACTTTGGTTCTGAAAAGCGTCTGCATCATTTTACGTAGCTGGCTGTGTTGGAGTTCTTTTGGACTCAGGTTGTGGTCCGCCAAGCAGTCGGAATTCCTGGGAAAGCTGGAGTTCAAGTCGGCGGAAGAGTCACCTTTCCGTTTGGATCAGGGGGCAATCTCAGCGGTGTATGCCAACGATGCAAACACCCTACTTTTTACTGGGCATGATGATGGCTGGGTACGAATCTGGGATCTCAGCAAGATCCAGGTGGATGCGTGCCCTTCATCCTTACTGCAAGTGCAGGAGATGCAGTTGCACCGCGTGGCAGTTACTTCACTGCAGCAGTTTCAGATTGACCGCAAGGAAGTCATTGTTTCAGCCTCCTGTGACTGGACGGTTGCGCTGCACACCATGGATGGTGGCCGCATAGGCAGCTTCAGTCATCGTGGTCCATTGTGGAGGCTTTCGGACACGAAAAGTTGGTGCGACCAGCCGCCCACGGAGGAAGGGGTGCGGGGCGAGGACGAGGATCGCTGGGGCGGCGTCAGCCCCCGCCGGAAGGGCGGGAACTGGCAGAATGGCGCTAACGGCAGCGTGCCAGGCAGGGTTGGGCCAAGCACTCCCTGAGCTCCTGGACTTGTTTGCTTTTTTGGGTGCAGTGTAGTGGCAAACACAAAGTTCAGAACTGCGTTACACACTGCACCCGTTTGGAGAGCCTCATTTTAGTCCTTTTGGCCCCCTAAGCCCCGGGGGTTGGTTAGCCAACGTTTGCCCAACCCCAGGCATTGGAATCGGCCTGGGCATGCGCACGCAGAGGGCGTCCAAGGCCAGGCGTGTGAATCGCTTTACCCCAGCAGTTTCAACCCCACTCGGGAAGAGCAAGAGTAGAAAAAGCAACCGGATGGCACCAAGTGACATGAAGGACGGGTGTTTTTTTGTACTTAGTTGGAGTTGCCCAGTGCCATCGATCGCCGCCTCTGTGATCTTTGAAATGATTGTTCATTTCTAGCAATTGGACTAGACATTTTCCCGGAAGGGTTGTGGGGGTTGCTTTTGGTGACGCCACTTAGGCATTCCCCCAGACCGCCATTGTGGAATTGAGGGCCCCCCCCCCCTTAAGGGAGGGTGGATACTTAGGCGACAAACGGCTTTAGGTAGACGTGGTCTTCAGGTGAGGACGCGGCCGGTGATCGCGGCCCCGCACTCGGGGCAAGGGGACTTTGGGAAGCTCAGCGTTGTGGAGCGCTTCAAGCCGGATCTGACGCTGGCGGAGCAGGCAGGACGTAGTGGGAACCCCTTCTATAATGAGCCACCCCGAACCCCTTGTATATTGAACCACCCCACTTTGTGTGTATATATATATATATATTATATCCATGTGTTGTTGTTATTGTTTTTTTTTTTTTTTTATGGGGGGAGGGTCCCTGTTTAGTGGGGAATCCTTTCTTCCAGGATGAACCCCTGATTAATAACCGGGGAGGTTATTAATCAGGGGTCAGCATTGGCGGGAACCCCTTTTGCTTGACAAGCTGGTGTTCGGGACAAGCAATTGAGCGGGTGTTGTATATTTATCCACTTGAGAAATGGCCTGTTTAGTTAGCTCCTCTTGGTTGAACATGGGAACCCAGGATGAATTTATGGTTGTGGGTAGGGCATCCTTAGGTCCGTGAGGTAGTAGAAGCAGTGCCGTGCTGGTTGTCCACGGGTTGCTCCTGCCCCAATTACATGTTCCGATTTTATATATGCTAAACCCGCCCTACTAATCCTGCCCTAACCCCCCCCCCAAACCCTAAACCAACCCTAAACAACACCTGCCCTAAACCCATCCTGACAGCACAAAAACAAGGGCGGCTCTTTTTGCTCACGATCAAATTGTGTTTGCCCTGCACGTGGTGTTCTAAAAGTGCCCCCCTTTTGCTCACTTCAGATATGAAGGGGTCACTGGATTTCCCTTCAATAGTTGCAATTGACTAGCGCCACTTTTGGAGGTGCGAAAAAGGGACATGGAGGAACCCCTGTATTCAGCTGGCAAGGGCTTGGCTTTCGCAGGAGCGCGCGCGCCTCCAGAAGTTCCACGTCTCAGAGAGCTCGCGCGGGAAGATTTGGAGCCGCCGGTGAATGGGTTGCTCCCAGCCCGGGTGTTCACAGCCTACTGTCATTTTCTGCCGCTAGCTAGCGAGTTTAAATCAGAAACATTGTGTCAAGAAGCATTGATCCACTGTGATCACCCGCAGGAGCAGCCCACGGCATGTTAATGACCCCATGTGTAGCTGGAAACAAGCTGGCATGTTAGTGTGTGGACCGCGGTGAATTGGCCTCAGACTGCACCCAGACGAGAAAGAGAGATGTGCCAGCATGCCCCCCCCCCCCCCGGATTGCACATAGGTGAAGAATCATCCCCCCATATGTTTTTCTCTTTGCAAATGCAGGGGGGAAAAATGAATGTATTGAGCGGAGGCCAGGTGATAGGCGAAGCCTCCTGTTTTATTAAGGCGCTTACAAGAAGTGTTGAACGTGTTGCTTCACGTTCGGTAGGCCCAACGCATGTAGACAAACACACACACCACATCAGTTGCCACTATTTGTTGTGCTTTTGAGGGTTCATCCCAGCTGCGAGAGGCTCACGTTGGCCTGTTGGCATATGCAGGGCACAGACGGAGTAAGAAGCTCCCGTTGGCAGCTTCCTTTCAATCCCTTCGAGATGTCTCTGAACCAATGAAGGTCCACCACTTGTTGCTTTCAGAGTTTCACTCCCTGAAACGTATCCCTAACACAAGGATCCCTCTAAAATATCTAGGGTGACTCTGCAGTCGGTTGGTTTCGTTGGTGTTGTTGCTTATGTATGGTGGGTTTATGGTGTTCTTCCTTAAACTCTTAGACATGTACTTCACATTCTTGAGCATATTTCTACCATTGTGCCAGGGCCTTGGAGGAACAAGCTTTGATCCATCCAGTTTGGTCACTGGGGTGGGGTGAGGTGGGGGGTGAGGGGGGCTTGCGAGTGTCAAGCCCGCCAGCTGCTATCAGCTGATAACTGGTTGCTGTGTGTGTGGTGTGTGTGTGTGCGTGTGTCCCGGCAGAAGTTTCCCAACATGTGTCCCCTACAGGTAAGGAGCATTTTCGATCAGGTCATGTAGGTCTGATGGCCCTTCCATCCATAGTTTGCCTGCAGCATACTGCAAACCTAGAGCGGGTTCCCATCCTCCATTTTGTTTTGCATGTGTTAATTGCTGGTGGTGGTTTTTTGGACCAACAAGGGCGAAAAGTGTTCGGCGCCGATGTTGAAACAGGTGACATCCCATCACCCCATTGTTTCCTTCCGGAACCTAGCCCGCTCCGCACAAAAAAGAACCCACTCCTCAGAGAACAACCCGCTTCTTTGGGCGAACAAAAGCCACGTTCCAGACACTCCGAACCAAAAAAGCACACTCCAGCCTCCTCGGAGAAAAGCGCGCCTCCTCTTTCCGAAGGAAATGGGGTCCTAGGGGAAAAAAAAACGAAAAAGCACGCCTCCTTTCCAGGGCGAAGGGGAAAGAACGAACCAAAACGGACGAGAAGTCAGGCGCCCTGGCGGGGAAGGCGGTGACCGCGAAGCTGGCGGCGCCCTTCGTCAAGGCCCTGGGCGTCGGCCTGGCCGGGCCGGCGGCGCTGCTGGGCGGCGTGGCAGGCGCACGGAAAGCGGCGACGGGAGACGGGAGGAGGTGAGGTGAGGGCCAGTGGTTTCTGCCTCCCAATAGATAAATATACATATATATATATACAGCAGAACTAATAATAATGATAATAAAAATAATAATAATAATAAAAATAATAATAATAATAATAATAATAATAATAATAATAATAATAATAGTACTAAACCCTTCAAATTCATAGTCCCCTGCGCTGGGGGATATCTCCTCGAAAAGGGCCTGCCTCTCTGGCGTGTCCGGGAGAAAGAAAAAAAAGAGTCCCCTGCTAGCCAGGGTGACCGCACTGGAGGGCTTCCCAGGCCTTCGGATTTGGGCTGCCTGGGAGTGTCCCCTTTTGGTGGGGATTCATCCCTAAGACAGGTGCTTGGTACCTTGAGCTGGCAGCCCGAGAACTCCCAAACGCCCAGGGGTTGAAAGGTTCCCCGGGGAGTGATTTGGGCGTAGCGCAACCGTTTTCGGTCAGGGCTCCCCAGGGAGCAAACCTAGAAGCTCGCTTTGGCTTGCTTAAGCCGAGGCTGTTCTTTTTCGGAGGCTGGTCGTTTTCTCCAGGCAAGTTCCTCAACTGGCCGACGTTCAGGGATGAGCAAATGAGGGAAAAGCTGTTTTGCCACAAGCCAGCAAGAAATTGATCCAATTGGATTTGTCCAAGCCACTTGAACAAGATGCCACCGGGAACCATGTGTGACCGGCAAAGGTTCAATTGTGTTCCAGTGGAGCTTCCACCAAACAGCAGCACGCCCCCGGCCACAGGGTGTTTCAGGGCCCAAAAGCACTAAGCCAATGATCCCAAACGGGTGGGAGAATTGAACATGCAGGGATGAGCATTGTTCACGCTGTGTAGTGGGAAATATGATGGTTTTTGGTGCCTGTCTTCTGAAAATTAATCACCACCTGTTTATTAATAGGGGGTGTTCCCCTCCAAAAGTGGTCTGATTCCCGACTAAGCCCAGGGAGAAGCACCCCCCCCATCAAGAAACTGGTTGATTTATATGGGGTCATTAACTCAAACCCGCTATGGTTGATTTGCCTGAGAATCAAACCATGACAGGTTGGCCGGTGTTTTCTGGGGTTTATTCCAGGCCCCAGGGATGAATCCCCTTCCTCCCACCAACAGAAGGCACAATTCCACGCCGAATTCCCCGCGGTTCCGCGCCGAGCGCTGAAAAACGCGCCGCGACGCCAAACCCCGGCGAGGCGTGGGCCTGGACATGGCCATGAGCCGCGGCCTGGAGCTGATGCAGCGCAAGGACTTCGAGGAGGAGGCCTTCGCGTCTTGGGGCGGAAGTCTTCGCGCGCGGGTGCGGCGCGAGGGGCGACCGCTTTTGGCGAAGGGATCGTCGCCGCTTTTTTGGGGGGTGACATGAAAAGCCCGTGTTTGGGGGGTTGGTTTTTAAGGGGGACACCAAAATTCAAAAGGAAGGCCGAAGACCAGGTTCTAAAAATAGAGACGCGCAAATGGTGCGAAGACCTTCAAGGTGCTCCCTAGTTCAGGTAAACCCAAATTGGTGGATTTGAGCTTCTGGCTTTTGGGGGGGGGGAGGGGGGGCAGGGGAACTGGGAAACCACCCCCTAACCTCCAACCAATCCAAACCACCAAGTTTGAGGGAAGCCGATTGGTTGTATGAAAGGCCAGAATTTGCAGGGTTCCGTGCCTTGATGAGCAAAGGTCTGGGAACTCAATGCATTTAATTTGACATATCAGCGCAGATGGCACCTGTTCCAGCCTGCCGTCGCGTCAAGCTTTCAAGGCTTTTTGCGCACTTGGGGCAAAGGTTTGGCCCCATCTTAGCCACAATCAGAACCCAGGCCAGTGAAGGACAACGGAAACCGTGCGGCCGGCCTTTGGATTAATTGCTTGGTTTCGTGTAGACGATTTGATTACCAGGCTTGTTGAAATTGTGACTCATCTTGCGATGGGATTTCAGACAGGGATGAGCATCAAAAAAAAATTATTTTGTGGATCAACAAAAAATTATTTAGGGGATCAAAAACAAATTATTGAGACCTAGTCTCCGGTCCCCTGCTCTCCTGGTCTCCTGGTCTCCTGGTCCTTGGTCTCCTGGTCCCCATGTCTCCTGCTGGTCCTGGTCCCTGGTCTTCTGGTGTCCTGTCCCCGTGTCTCCTGGTCGCCTGGTCTCCTGGTCTCCTGGTCTCCTGGTCTCCTGGTCTCCTGGTCCTTGGTCTCCTGTGTCTTGTCTCCTGGTCCTTGGTCTCCTGGTCTCCTGGTCTCCTGGTCTCCTGGTCTCTTGGTCTCCTGGTCTGCTGGTCTCCTGGCCTGCTCTCCTACCCGAAACCGACCCTAAACCAAACTACACTCACCCTAAACCAACCCAAAACCAACCTACAAACCAACCTTGAAACCGACCCTGCGCAACTTTTAAACCAACCCTAAACCCGCCCTAAACCAATCCTAAACCCACCCTAAACCTACCCTAAACCTACCCTAAGCCAACCTAAAACCACCCTAAACCCAACCTAAACCTACCCAACCAAAATCCACCCACCGCAAAAAAACCCAACACCCTCCCTAAACCCACCCTAAACCCACCCTAAACAGACCCTAAACTAAACCTAAACCCACCCTGAACCAATCCTAAACCAACCCCAAACCCACCCGAAACTCCAAACCCACCCGAAACCCAACCAAAATTAACCCTAAACCAACCTTGAAACCAACCCTACACAACCTTAAGCCAACCCTAAACCCAGCCTAAACCAACCCTTAACCCAACCCTAAAGCAACCCTAAACTCACCCTAAACCCGCAAACCAACCCTACACCTACCCGAAGCCAACCTAAAACCACCCTAAACCCAACCTAAACCTACCCTAAACCAACCAAAATCCACCCACCGCAAACAAACCCAAAACCCTCCCTAAACCCACCCTAAACCCACCCTAAACAGACCCTAACCTAAACCTAAACCCACCCTAAACCAATCCAAAACCAACCCTAAACCAACCTAAGCCAACCCCAAACCTACCCGAAACCCAACAAAAGTTAACCCTAAACCAACCTTGAAACCAACCCTACACAACCTTAAGCCAACCCTAAACCCAGCCTAAACCAACCCTAAACCAACCCTAAACCTGCCCTAACCCTACCCTACACTTACCCTAAACCACCGTAAACTTAGCCTAAACCATCCCTTAACCCAACCCTAAGCCACGTAAACCGGCACTAAACCCAGCCTAAGCCCACCCGAAAACTACACTAAACAGACCCAAAACCAACCTAAGCCAACCCTAAACCCGCCCTAAACCTGCCCGAGACCTACCCTAAATTTTCCTTAAAAACCATAAACAAATTTCAAGCCCCAAACCAAACCTAAACCCACCCTAAACCAAGCCTTAGCCCAGCCAAACCAACCCTAAAGCAACCCTAACCAAACCTCATCCAACCCTAAACCCACCCTAAACCAACCCT